TTCTGCACTTTTTGTTTAGTTTTCTCTTTCATTCTTTACTTTTCCCTCTCTTCTATTTCAACTGGTACTTTTTGTTAGTTTTTATTTATTTTAAAATTTAATAAAGTTATTAAAAAGAGAGAATTCTCTACTTTGTCTCCACAATCAGGGGCTGAGAGTCTTTTCCATCACATCATAGAAATATCCTTGCGCATATTCCTTCAATTTTGGAAAAAACGTGGATTGGCAACAAAACTGGGCAAATCTGGGTAGGATAGTGATATCCAACTTCTCAAGGTTAGATGGACATTCTCTTGGATGTCTCAGCTTTGTCGTGTTGCAGCAGCAACTCCTTCTTGTGCTCCCAAACTCCACTTAATAGTTGCTTCAAAATGTTGACTACTGCAGTGTAATGCTCTAGGTTGACAGGGATGCCAAGCTGAAGGAAATTCATAAGAAAAACACCATCTGCATCCCTCAAAACTGTCATCATGAATTTTCTTGCCAAAACCTCTTTTTGTTATTCTTTTTTTTTCCACAGGTGAAGCTGTGTGATGATATCCTTTGAACTGCCATTTCATTTCTAGGTTATAATAATAAGCCGATGTTTCGACAGCTGTCATGATGTGGGAAGAAATTCCTCACCTTTATTTTTGTAGCGTGACACCAACTGCTGCCAAATTTTAACTCCTGAAGCTGTCATCTTTGCCATCAGCATTCAAGCTATCTATCTAACACAAACCTTCAGATATGGAAGAATATCAGTAATGCAGCCCATGTGTGCCTACAAAATGCCAAGCATAACAACAATTTCTCCTTGTGTTATTCTCCAGTTGTCTAAATCAGTTCATCAGCCATTCTCTGAAAAAGTTGTCAGCTGCTGTCAAAGGTCATCCAGTCAGCTTTTCCTAGTTCATCTGTCAAGTACAGGAAATCAGGAGTCCAGGCAGTTCAAATGAATATAGGTTTAATGCTCTCTACAAGAATCTGAACTACTAATGGTCAAAGCAAATTAGCGGTAGATAAAAGTCAATGGAATTCAAGGTGGGCTTGACTTAGATCTCTTGTGGATGTGAAGGGACTTGAGACTGATTGATCCCTCTTTCGGGGTCTCCTACATCATCATTTTACATTTTTGGGCCCAGTGATACACAGTACTCATGTCAACATCATCATCATCATAAACAATCTGCATTCAGCAGTGGTTTTCAAGTGGAAATCAGCAATCAAACATCCAGACATGATGCAATTGCTTAAAATGCACTGATAAGTATTACTGCAGGCTTCCACTGCACACACAATAGCAGCAATACTGTTTCTTCTAGCAATTTACCATCAATTGGAATGAAAGAACAAGTGCTAAGAACATATCAGAGTTTTTTGTACATCAGTACTTCCATCAACTGGCAATTTACAACTTTGGAGGCACTACTCTTCTTTACATCCTCATATTCAGGGCTTTCTCCTTCACTATGTCATGTAGGCCCATTTATGTGTCACTATTTTAACAAATCACTTTTTTTTTTAAATATTCAGGAAAGTCTTTAAAATAGTTTTCTTTCAACAGGTTTTTGGACGCTAGGATGATCCAAGCCATGGCTATTATTATTTGCTAATATACATATTATTGTTTATTGGATTGTTTAAATGGTTGGGATAATCTGCCTTGGTTTGTTCATATACACTGCCCAGAGCTAGTCAGACAACATGTATAAATGTTATTAAATGAACAAACACACAAAGGAAATTCCCAGATCTTGCTTAGAAAAGCTCAAAAAAAAAAAAAAAAGAATTTCCAAGCACATCTCAGAAAAAAAAACTGTTTCTACTTCTACCTCTGTTTTGATCTATCGTTTCCTTTCACTACCCACTTTTAAACATTGTTTTGTTTTGTGCAATATCAGTTTTATAGCCAATCATAATATATTCAGTCAATTATTATTAAGTAAGCAATCCATGAACTAAGTCTATGACAAGGAAGGTTAGTATAACTTTCAGGAGTTTCAAACTGCATTAGCATAGAGGTGCTTCTATACAGCTGTGGATAATGGGAGCTATAAACCAAGAAAAAGAGGTCTCAAGTCTCTTCTTTCTGCTATGCGTTCAAAATGGTCAGTTATTAATATATATGTGTATCTGTGTATGCACATATATGTATATATACACCATATGTATATGTGTGTGTATATGGGTATGGGTATATATTTTTTTTCTTTTGAGAGCAGGCATCAGAATTTCATTTTTAATATGGGCCAGTATGTTCACAGAAAAAATGACAATAAAAGTCATTTCATCTCATTTCATCTTATCTTATATGTGACTCACCATCCATAACCTCTCCTAGCCATTTCAAAAAGCTCTAAGCTCTCCATTTCTACTAAAAGGCAACAGACATGGAGAAGGCTAGGTTGGCATAGCAGGCAGTTCACGATTTATGATCATAACTGAGCCCACAATTTTGGTAATAAGTTGTGAAATTCCTAAATTGGGTCATCATGTGATGGTTTCATGACCTTTTTGCACCATATCGGTGGTGGTAAAGCAAACAGCAATGGCACTTAGACTTATATATACCGCTTCACAGTGCTTTACAGCCCTCTCTAAGCGGTTTACAGCGTCAGCATATTGTCCCCAATAACCTGAATCCTCCTTTTACTGACCTTGGAAGAATGGAAGGCTGAGTCAACCTTGAGCCAGTGAGGATTGAACTCCTGGCAGTGGGCAGTGAATTAGCCTGCAATACTACGTTCTAACCACTGCACCACCATGATTCTTGCAACCATTAAGCAAACACCGTAGTTGTTAAGTGAACCCTTTATTCACTGTGGGGCAGTTTTTGCAGGAAACTGGAAGTAAATGTCAGTTTCTGGCAAAAAATGTCATAAATTGTGGTCACATGACTGCGGGATGCTACAAATGGCTGCAAATATGGTCCGGTTGCCAAGTCCAAAATATAGTCACATGACCATGGGGGAGATGGACATTGGAACCTCAAAATCAAATCATAGATCTTTTTTCAGGGTCCATTGTAACTTTAAACATTTACTAAGTGACCAGTTGTAAGTGGAGGATTACCTGTGCCACAATTGTGCTGAAAAGACCTTCTGTGTCCTTGTATCCTTCAGAGGCTTTGAGTCTCTGCACAAATTACAAGCAGCAGAAACTGGCAAATCCTGGAGCTTTAATTACAAAGAGTCTTACGGCTTCCCCAGAGTGGTCAGCTTTTGTGCTCCTAACCTTTTGTTCTGCTGGTTCCAGCATTAACCAAGGAGCAAGAATAGCAATGTCTTGCGTGTCTATTAGCCCCAAGACAAAAAGTCACAATATAAGCAATATCTGATCTCAGGAACATGCCCAGCTTATATCAAATGCAGTGTGGAATTGTCAAGTCTCTGAATAATGATACAACAAAGACATCAGTTTTACAGCCTTACAACATTTAACATCCTGACCAAAGGCATAAAAAAAAATCACTTCTCATAGATCTAGATCTGAATAATCTAGTATGCAATCCACTGGATATGTTACAATACAATAACCATTCTTTGCTTTAAAACAAGGAAGGAATAGAAGAAGAAGATAACCTAACGTTTGCAAGAGGAATATCCTGTTCTTCTAAATGGTTGTGTGTTTAGGGGTAAATATTCAAACTCAATCAAATATGAAATTAGGAAATGCTGAAATGGATCTACATATAGCTTATCGTCATATTTAACACAACTTGTTTATGTGTTTCACCCCATTCAATCCTTTAAAGGCCTACTTCTAAAAAGCAAGTCTCTAAATACAATAAAACAAAGTGGGTCTGGTTTTAGTTGTACTTGACCAAAGCAACCTAATTCCATAAATAGGAATGGTTATCATATTCACTGTTTAATGGGAGGAAAATTTCTTAAAGCTGTGAGACATTTCGTAGTCTCTGGAGGGATGCCATAACAAGATATTAATAGATAGTGTTTTGCACATACACAAACACAACCTTGCATGACAAAAAAAAGGTAACAACAAAATATTATCTTTATTAAATGGTGAGAAAAAGATGAAGACTTGCATGATTCCATTATTATAGTCAACCTCAGTTGTAATATAATTGTAATAGATTATGAAAATAACTTTAAGAGATAGGAGGAAATGCTGCAGCTTAGACAATAGTCTGATAAGAGAAACATGAGTCCAAAGCCGGAATGGGTGTGGAGATAGCATCGCAGAATTGATCTGCTTAGTTCTCTGGACGGTAAAGGCAGGGCATGTCATTCTGAAGTGCTTTCAGACTTAACAAGATTCTGTTACTGTGACCGTACAATAAAACTAATATTAATATTCTAGGCTTTGATTCTCTGGTATGACAGTAGGTTTAGCCTTCCTGCGGAATTGATTTCTTGGTCTGGTCTATCTCGTGGGGTTGACATCCATCTTGCAAGTCTGATTGTGCTATGCCTCTTTCCCTTCTTATACTTCAGTGGATTAGAGATAGCAACAGCAATAGCATTTAGGCTTCTATCCAGGCCCATAGTGCTTTACACCACAGCACTCTCTGGGCAGTTTACAGCGTAGAAGCATTATTGCATATGGCCCCTAACAATTTGGGTCCTCATTTTACTGACCTCGGAAGGATGGAAAGCTGAGTCAACCTTGACCCCTGCCAGGATTGAACTCCTGGCAGTGGGCAGAGTTTGCCCACAATGTTGCATTTAACCACTGCACCACCAGGGCTCCTAACCGAGATGTCTGTCTCAACTGCTTTTAAACACCATCTGTTTGCTGTGGATTTCAGGTATGTTTTACCCTGGCATATCTTTGCCATGATCAGCTTCCTTGTTCTCTACAACATCCCGCAAGATAGTGATATAATCCACACTGACATCTCCTACACCACTGCCTTATCTCTGCCCATTCCCAACTAGATATATAGGATATGTTCGGATGTATACTCTGATGTATATGCTTCTCCTCCTACCCCTATACATCTCTTCGCCATTCTGTATGCATTTATATTCTAAACAATTGTGTGACTCTGGTACCTAAGCACAGCCCATGGAGCTTTTCTTAAGGTGGAAAGGCCATCGCCCTGTTGTTCTTCAGGGGAGGCAGGGTGGCAGGAGTTCCATGTCCCCCTGTGAGCCACACGGTGCTTCCCATTCTCCCGGCTGGATGACGGAAAATGTAAAGGGGTTTGTAGAGACGCTGCTGGCTGCCGAACCATCTTCACATGTAGCCCTCCATTTTTTCTAATTAACAAAAGAATAAGAAGCTTGCATTAGTAAGATAGAATTCTGCCTCTGTCTTGTTCGCAAGGAGAAAAATCTTAGCAACAATATTTATTTAGCAGTCTACCCATGTGAGAGGTAGCACAAATTGATCCAAAGACTAATTCCCAACCTAGCTGGCTGCCCAGAATTGAGAATGAATAAATACTAAGAAGCAAATTAGACTATTAGAAGATGTACCTGCTCAATGTTATTTATTTGCTTGTTGATTGGTTTAATTGCATGCGCTTTGACAGATTATTTAAACAGAAATGACATAAAAATGACACAAAAATAATGATAAAAAATAAACAAGATAAACAAGAACAAATAACAGAAGTAAAATGTTACATTAAAAACCCTTTTTGGTTACACATTTCCGTCTTCCATTTATTTCCCCAAACACTAACCTTTATCTAAGTATTTAACAGAATAATAGAACAACACAGTTGGAAGGGACCTTAGAGGTCTTCTAGTCCAACCCCCTGCTCAAGCAGGGGACGCTATATCATTCCAGACAAATAGTTGTCTAATCTCTTCTTAAAAGCCTCCAGTGATGGGACACCCACAACTTCTGAAGGCAAGCTGTTCCACTGGTTGAAATTATTGGTTGAAACCATTTGGTTGAAATTATTATTAAATAAAAAAACAAGCAAACATACAAAAAAATGAAATTTGCTAAAAAATAGAATTAAGGGAACCTCTGCTAAGGTAAGTCTTGTCAGTCTACATTTTTAGTCTTTTTTCGAGGTTGTCAACAGTCATGCAGGTAAAAATGATGCAATAGATATTGTACACCTGAGTTTTTAAAGAGCCTTTGACAAAATCCTCTATGAAAAACTGCTGAGAAAACTTCAGCTACCAAGGAAACAGAGAATGGGAAGGAAAGAGTAGATTTCATACCAAGATGCACAAAATAAGACCCCCTCAAGGATTGGCATTGGAGCTGGTGCCTTTGACTTGTATATGAACATTCTGGAGTTTGCAATCCAAGGCAATAAAAAAAAAAGATTGTGAAGAGTTGCAGAAAGATCTCTCAAAAATGAGTGAATTGGCATTCAAAAAGGAAAAGGTGGTTCAGAGTAGGCAAGTATAAAGAGATGCATGTTGCCTCCCCCAAAAAGCAAACTTCACTGATCCATTAATGAAAATTCATCAGAAAAGGGATTTTGGAATCACAACAGTCAGTTTGATAAAAATGTCAACCCATTATGTAGCAGATTAAAAAATGAGAATCTATGAGGGTGAAGGTTCATTCTACGAGCTTGTGGGTTGGTTTCTGAACATTTTGTTATCAGGCTAGGAATCAGGGATAAGCAACCTTGGCTCTTTTGTGACTCATGGACTTCAACTCCCAGAATTCCTGAGCCAGCATGGCTCAGCTTGGAAACTCCCCCTTTCCCCTCAGCATGACTGGCTCGGGAATTCTGGGAGTTGAAGTCCACAAGTCATAAAAGAGCCAAGGTTGCCTACCCCTGGGCTAGGTAATATCTTCAGCGGAGTTTAGGGGATGTCAGTGTCCGTGTTCTGCAGTTTCTGACAGTACTGCATTATTAGTCTAAACTGTTAGAACTATAGTAGCAGTGTTGTTTCTTTAAAAATGGTGAGAAAACCTGTCTCTTCAAATCAGTCCCCCAAATAAAAAGGACTTATGCAGACATAATAAATTAAACTACATAAATTATAACTCTTGTGCTTGATAACCTTGTCAGGGCTTCTACAAGTTGTATTGTCCAGATATTGGGCACCATATATTCCTGAAGCAATCAAACATAATAATTAGTATCTAATTATTATCTAGGGGTTTGCTAAACTATTAGCAGGTGATGGCATGTGACTAACCTTATCAGAGGTTGGAAGCTAAGCAGGATCAGGTCTAGTTATCCTCTGAATGGGGAATCATCTTATAATCCTGCAGCTAGATCCAAGTTGAAAGAACACAAGTGTAAACCACCTCCATATTGTTGTTATGACAACTTCATGGACATGAAATCACAAGACACATTTATCTTTACCTACCCAATGCTAATACCATTAGCATTATTATATTTTCCCTCATTATACTAATTATAGATTATATTTTTATCACCCCAGTTTTCTAATTACTCAGGATGACTTTAAAGTTTCTCCAATCTTATTCCCACCCTACTTTAGCTTCTGAGAGACAGTTTTGTGCAGTGCTTATGGCATCAGGTTAGATGCGCAGAGATGGCAAGTTGTAATCCTGCCCTAGACACAAAACCAGTTGGGTGACTTGGGGCCAGTCACTTAGGAAGGTGGAAAGGGCAAATTACTTCCAAAAAATCTTGCCAACAAAACTACAAGGTCTTGTCCAGGCAGTCACCAGGAAAGGCAATAAAAAACAAATCTTTAACTTCTATTTCCCTTTCACTGACCCAAAAAATGAGATTCAGGTAATGTCTTCATACAAATTGCTTCCCAAAGGAATAATGTGAAAATGAAAATGAGTTTCTGATTTTGACAGCTATATGTAATTCTCCAGAGATCAACCAAATCTAATGTGTAACACTTGTTCTAAAAATGATAGCCTTTGATTTAGGTTCCTATGGGTCTCTCAAAGCTACAGCACAATTCCAAACACATTGAACTTAATATTCAATATCAACGCCTCTTCTAACAAAAAAATAAAACCAGATAAAATTTAAAATATTTACTGAAGCATAGATAGATGGTAATTAGATTATCTTATACCTTAAATGTAGGGATTAAAGATAAGCTTTTTTTAAAAAATTGTGTAATTATAAGATATTTTATTATTTTGATATAGTGATATTTATACAATATCAACTAGAGATTATTAATACTTTAATATTCAACTGAGACTTTTAAAGACAGAAAAAAGGAAAGATATTAAGATTATCAGTTATCTAATGTTTAGATAAGGGACAGTTTTGAAGATAGAAAAAAGTCAAAGTATTATATCAACGTTAACTATAATTTGGAAAATCAATGTCGATAAATGGAAAATTAAATACATTTTTATGTTCAAAACTGAATGTAACTTTAACAAATAGTGAACTACTGTTCTACAATGAAGATTTCTGTCTTAAAATGAATACTTACTACTGAGCTCTCCACCCTGTTACTTATTACTATTTGGGCATGCTGAGAAAAATAGAAAAACAACAAAGCAAAGTTGGCAATAGCAAGTAAAAGAAAAAGAAAACAAGGGGAAAAGCTTTTCTAGCTTTCCTCTTCTTGTCCTTTTGCTAATTTGTGATATCTTTATACACTCAGAACCTTTTAGAAGCCAGACTATAAAGGTTTATATTTGCCATACTGTTTTGTATTATATGTATATTGTATATATGGGAAAGTGTTAAGCTTTTGAACAGCAAGTATTTGTTCACTGTTGCACAAAAGAATGAGTTTTCTTTTATGCCCAACACTATTCAGATGCCTAAGAGAGCCAGTATGGTGTAGTGGTTGAGGTGTTTTGCTTGTTTGTTTATTTGTTCATTCAATTTGTAAAGGTAATGGTAACTGTTTCCCTGTCCAGAGCACAGTGCTCATCTCCGTTTCTTGACCGAGCTAGCATTGTCCGAAAACAATTTCCATGGTCTTGTGCCCAGCATGACTATATACCAAAGTTGCACAGAATTCTGTTACCTTCCCACTGAAGTGGTACCTATTAATCTACTCATGTTTGCATGCTTTCAAACTGCTAGGTGGGCAGGAGCTGGGGCAAGGAACTGGAACTCATCCCACTGCATGGACATCAGGTCTCGGACCCAGGCTATGAGCTCTCCAGCTGACAAGCTCAGAGTCTTTAACCACTAAGCCGTCATGCCCCATTCGACTTGTACAGCTACCCAATTCACAAAGCAAATCAGGGAGCAAAGAAAAAAAAACACCAGCAACCGAGGACACAAATCAATATGCTGCGATGTCGCTTAGAGACAGGGTCACTCCACATTCTGGCCCCATTTCTGAATGCTGAAGTAGGTTCAGGTCTACCTGTAGCCATGACAAGTCACTGTGTGGCCTCGGGCCACTCTCACTCTCTCAGCCCAACCTACTTCAAAGGATTGTTCTGGAGATAAAAGGAAGGAGGAACCCATGCGAATTGCCTTAAGCTTTTGGAGAAAAAGGTGATATAAATCTAACAAATAAATAAAGCTGAATTGGAAGCTGAGTTGGGAAGTTCTTTGGTCTGGTGCTTGAGGGAAGGATAGTACTAATTTTATGGATTGTTGTGAGCTGCCAAAAATTATTATACGAGATGGATGACCACATAAATCCTGTTAATAAGTAAAACACACAACATACATGTAAATGGGCATGCATGCTATTGGACAGTTTTGGGAACAGGCCTTGTCTGTCTCTGCAATAAAAATGCCAAAATTGTAAGGTACACACTCTACTCACAATCTGGATCCATTTTGTGAAAGCAGGAAGCCATCGTACACTAAGCAGACGCCAAATACGGTGATCCCCGTTTCCTTTACCAGCATTGCACAAGTCCCAAGAAATAAACTAAGCAGCAAAAAGGACGGGGAGGCAGTGGGAGGAAAATGTTCCCCAACATAAAGCTGATCCACACTCCTGCAAGGCAGAAGGAAAAGCCAACTGTGAAATGAAAATTTTACTACAGTACTAGCAATAGCAATTAGACTTATATACCACCCCGTAGTGCTTTACAGCAGAGGTCCCCAACCTTTTGGCCACCAGGGACCAGTTCTGTGGAGAGAGGTTTTTCTGCGGACTGGAGGGAGCGTGGTTTTGTGTGCTGCCTGCATCCCACGGATGGGGCTTTGCTTGTTTGTGCAAACCGGTTGCTAGCATGCCGCGGCCTGGTACTGGTCCACAGACCGGGGTTTGGGGACCCCTGCTTTACAGCACTCTCTGGGTGGTTTGCAATGTCAGCATATTGGCCCCAACCATCATATTATCGACCTTGGAAAGATGGAAGATTGAGTCAACCTTTTGCCCATCAGGATCAAACTCCAGGCTGTGGACAGAATTTACCTGCAATACTGCATTTTAAGTTCTGCGCTACCATGGCTCTTAAACCTTATAACCCCTAAGACAGACTTAATCTAAATTAAAAAAAAAACAGAAATAAAGATTTTGAACCCAGAAACCCTGTCTGTAAGAACGTATATAATTGTCCAGAGTTGTCTAGGAAAAGGTAGCTTTATAAATTGAATAAATAAATCAGTGGCTGGGTTTGATATGGAACACAGTATAAATAGGCAGGGAAGAATTATATTTCCTCTCTATTGCCATGTTATTAACCCACAATCCATTCACATTGAAACAGGAATTTTCTTCTTTTTTCCTTTCAATAATTTTTATTCAAAGACTATCAAGATGTAGAGAAGAAGAGGACAATTCTGGTTGACTAACTTGACTAAGTTTTTGGGATGATCAAGAAATATACCAGGGGCAACTATGAGGCAAATTTGGCTGTATCATATATCTTCAATAAGGTCACTCATTATTTTGGAGAGACATTAAGAGTCTGTTAAATCCAAAGGCATAAAAAAGTAGAGTGACTTGACTTTTTTTTTTTTCTGGGACGAACAGAGGAAACTTCTTGTGTTTACTCTCACACAATGAAGGATGAAGAACAAAGAAGCCACTTGAACTACCTGTGCCAAGTTGGGTAAGAAGTGGAGAGCTGCAAGAGAGAGGTGGGGAAACAGTAGGGAACAGTGTAGGCAACAGAGCTAGAGGATTTTATGATGATAGATAAGGAGCAGGAAGTGATCAACAAGTAATATATAGGAAGTAGAGAATATGGTAAAGAGAAGCCACTTGACTTCTGATCTCCTCTACTCCCCAGGGATAGCTGCGGATAGTTGGGAACAAAAAGGTTCAGATGATGGTCTATATGGTCTAAGCTCCACCTCCTTTTTATATGCATTGAATGCACAACAAATATATAGAAAGGGTAAGGCTTTCAAAAATGGCCACAGCCCCCATATTGACTTTTTTGACCCCACCACAGATGTTGCTGCTCTCTTCTCCCCCGTTCAAGATGGATAAGGTTTGTAGCAGTGCACGCTTCTTTTTTCTCCCCTAAAGCAAGAAGGCTGGTAAATGCACAGATGAAAAAATGCTAGCACACACATAGAAGCATTTGCTAAGATGCACTTCAGAAACAATGGACTTGTGCATTATTATGAGGCTGACCTCCAAATGCAAATTCAGTCCATTGTATCCAAAGTTCCTCAAACTGGAGCCTATCAAATCAAAGTTTCAGTGTAATATAATTCAGTTTTCCTTAATTCCCCAGTCATTCTACAAAAGAAGGGGGGGGGGAAAGGGAGACTATGAAAGGAAGGAGTTGGGGTTATCAACATAAAATAGATCCAAAAGGTTCACGTATCTTATTTAAAAACCACAAGCATTCTAAGATAAAAGATACCTATTATAGGAGAGAAAAGCCAAAAGAAATAACAGACAGGCCAGAACATCTGCTCTGCCGACTATACCCGTTACCTAAAAAAAAATAAATGGAGAAAGGCAGAATAAGTTACAAGTTGCAATCAAACAGCAAGACTAAATGTCAAAGCTCCTGCAAAGAAAGTGTATATACAGATGGTTTTCAACTTATGACCATTCATTTAGCAACTGTTCAAAGTAACAAGTTTGTTGTTCTTGTTGTTAGTTGCAAAGTCGTGTCTGACCCCCCGTGACCCTATGGACAACGTTCCTCCAGGCCTTCCTGTCCTCTACCATCTTCTGGAGTCCATTTAAGCTCACGTCTACTGCTTCAGTGACTCCATCCAGCCACCTCATTCTCTGTTGGCCCCTTCTTCTATTGCTCTCAATATTTTCCCTGCATTAGGCTCTTCTCCAGTGAGTCTCCAGTGAGACTCACTGGAGAAAGTAACAAGAGCAATGAAAAAAAGTGACTTACAACCAGTCCTCAAACTTATGAGTGTTGCAACAACATCGCAGTCATGTGATCACAATTCAGGTATTTGGCTTGCGGCTTGCATTCATGATAGTGTTCTGCAGTCGCGAGATTGCCATTCGCTACCTTCCCAGCCAGCTTTCCACAAGCAAAGTCAGTGGGGAAGCCAGCAGGGAAGACTGCAAGCCACAGTTGTGTCATGTGTCGCTTAATGACCAAGAGTGATTTGCTTAAATGTCCCCATCAAAAAAGGTTATAAAATCAAATGCAGTCATCTGTTGCCTCACTTAAATCAAGGACCACCTGTAGGATAAGTACTGCCTAAGATATTTAGAGAACTTGCTGTTTGGTTATAGTGATAAAAATCTGTAGAATGTTTTATGCTGAAACCATGTAAAAAATGTGGACTCTTTCGAATGGCATCAGAAAGAAGAACAGATGAGGTTGTCCAGCCAACTTTCTAGAGAAGGCTTTCATAAATGTTTTTACCTCAAAGAGCTTTATCTATCCCTTGTTGTTTTCAATACAGGTAATCCTCGACTTATGCCCACAATTGAGCCCAAAATTTCTGTTGCTTAGCGGAATAGTTGTTTTGCCCCATGTTACCACCTTTTCTGCCACAGCTGTTAAATGAATCACTGCAGTTGTTAAATTAGCCATGCGGTTGTTAAGTGAAGCTGGCTTCCCCATTGACTTTGCTTGTCAGAAGGTCGCAGATCTCGAGACACTGCAACCATCATAGAGATGAGTCAGTTGCCAAGCATCTGAATTTTGATCATGTCCCCATGGGGATGGCTGCAACGGTGTAAAAAAACAGTCAGAAGTCACTTTTTTCAGTGCCGTTGTAACTTTGAATGGCCACTAAACAAACTGTTATAAGTCGAGGACTATCTGTAAATTATGAAGGGAAGTCTTGAATATTTACCAATGTTCTTCTAATGTAACATATAAATAACTACAGAGATGGCCTTAATGGACCACATAAGTGAGCCCAGTAATTCTTAGCTATGATATACCTACTTCCCTACAGGGGCAGTCAGAAATGTCAATTTTGTGTTTGAAACCCCTCCTCTTTTTACCCCCAATGTATGGAAAAGGGGGAGATACCGTTAGGATTGCCATTATGACTTTTTTCATTGCCTCTGCAGATGCTTCCCTGTGAAAGACAAAGCAATTCCTAAATGTTCATGACTACAAAAGACGCACTCACCAAGAGTTTTGTCAATTCCCCCAAACTGGCAAATTTCTTAACCATTTATTCACTTTATTATAACTTCACCTATTTTGAAACTTGGCTTATGCTAAAGATCATTCATCTTCACTCTGAACTCTATTCATTTTTATTTTTAAAAAATCCCAAGTGTGTTGTATTCTCCAACGAACACCTCTGCAGTCTTTCCCCAAAACTAATGATATACACATAAGCACCCACTTAATCCTATTTAAGTAGTGGGAGAATGTAAAAACTGCTCGATTAATCCTGGGAAGTACTTAGAGAACTCAAGACTCCTTTGTAATGAAAAGTTCAATTTCACTCTCCTAATATTATATAACTTTAGGCATTCTAGGGATTCCTCATTTGCAAGCCATTGCACAATTACAATTATCCCACATCTGCCACCCCACCATCCCAAAGCAAGCACCAGTAAACAGAAATATCAATTAGCCTTTTGCAGTGTTTCATTAACAGCTGTGCAGACATCCTTTCTAATTTACAGGAATATCTTCTAATTATCTTCAAAACAGTTAAGGGCAAACATTGTTTTTACAAGTCAGGGCATAAAAGAGCTAGAAAGTACCAGAAGCCAGATACAAGAAGTTTCTGTTATCCAAAAATGCATTTTAGGTTCTGTTATTTTGGGCAGCATAGAATTATAAGAAGAGATTGGGCAACCAAGATCCCTTCCAACTCTGTTGTTGTTGTCATTGTCATCATCATCATCATCATCATCATTATATGAGGGGTTTTAGCAGAATCCCAGTGGAAGGAACTTGGTCTTCAAGCCAAAACAGTAGCATCAGGAAACAGTGGTAGATTATGCTATTTAGAAATAAAAATTAGCAATATACTACAGGAAGGAGGTTAAAAATGGGAAAGGAGTACTAGATTTGCTCAAGGGCAAAGAATTCTAATTCTAATTTCAGTCCTCCACTCACAATCATTTGTTTAGCAACTGTTCAAAGTTATAGTGGCTCTGAGAAAAGTGATTTAGGACTGGTCCTCACATGTAATGACCATCACAGCATCCCACAGTCACATGATCAAAATTTGGGTACTTGGCAACCAACTTGTAATGACAATGGTTGCAGCATCCCAGTGTCCTATGATCCCCAGTGGCTATCTTCCCAGTCTGCTTTCTAATAAGCAAAGACAATGGGAGAAGCCAGATTCGCACAACTGTGTGATTCACTTAACAACTGCAGTGATTTGCTTAACAACTGTCATAAAACTGGGTGCAATTCAGTTAACAACTGGCTTGCTTAGGAATTGAAATTCTGGTCCCAATGGTCGTGAATCAAGGACTACCTGTACTGGGAGGAAAATTGAAAAAGTTAGGAGAAAAGAATGGAATAGAACAGGTACTGTTCTATTGTAGGTAGGGCTGATGGGAATTGAGGACCAACAACATTTAGAAGTCCACAGCTCTCTTGTCCCAGAATTATATCAACCTAAGACAGGGGTCGCCAACCTTGGCAATTTTAAGACTTGCGGACTTCAACTCCCAGGATTCCTCAGCCAGCATGAGGAATTCTGGGAACTGAAGTCCACAAGTCTTAAAGTTGTCAAGGTTGGGACCCTTGACCTAGAAGACACATTTAGGTTGGAATACCTAATTATGGAGCAATGCATACTGCAACTGATCCAATTGTGTCTTACCTATTGCCTCACCGGAAAAGAAGAGGAGAAATCTTGCAAGTCTTCAATTTGTTTTTAAAGGAGTGGAGGAAATGCTCCTTTAATTTATTTATTTTTTTACGCAAGTAAGGAATCAATACTCAAGTTTGTGTTGACAAAAGGAATCGTTAAGTGTATTTACGATTTGCTAAAAAAAAATGATACCAAATTTGTGGATACCGCTCGAGTATTTGCTTGATGCCTGCTGTCTAGGCTACAAATTGAGAAACTCCGGATTAATAAGGAGACATTCTTCCAACAGATTCTTCAGCTCAACCATCATTGAAATAGATGCATGAATTCACAGCTTCTGGTCAAGTCAGAAGAGCCTGGCAGACAATTTTGGATTACGTCCCAAAACAAAACTCTCTCCTAAAAACATGGCAGAATTCCCAGAAATGCATTGGGTTGTTTTGGAATTTGACTTCCCCGCTTTCTTGTCATTCTTGAATAAAAATAACAAAATCTTAGTAAGGGTTTTAGTGTACTAAATAAAACCCTATGTTTTAAATCACTTTGTGATTTAAATATCATCCCAAAATGAATTCATTACATGGCCTTATGTTTCTCCTTTTTTATATTATCTTTTTTTAATTATTTTTATAAATAACTCAAGGCGGCAAATATATCCAACACTCCCTCCTCCTCCTATTTTCCTGTGAGGTGGGATGGGCTGAGAGGAAGGGACTGGCCCAAGGTTACCCCAGTGGACTTTCATGCTCCTTCAGTTTCATTCCTTCTTCTCCTATATGACAATTATAATATTAACCTATTCTACAGAATTGTTGTATATACTGTAAGGCTTGTTCTGAATCCTATAGCAAAATAGGGCTGAGTTAATGGAGATTTGATTTCAGGTAATCTTGAAAATCATTATGCAACTGCTCAGTATGCTTATATTTTGATACAGGTAATCCTCAACTTATGACCACAACTGAGGCCAAAATTCATGTTGCCAAGTGAAAAATTTGTTAAGTGAGTTTTGTCCCATTTTATGACTTCTCTTGCCACATTTGTGACGTGAATCACTGCAGTTGTTAAATTAGTAACACGGTTGTTAAGTCAATCTGGCTTCCCTATTAACTTTGCTTAAGATTTTGTTAAGGTTGCAAAAGGGGATCACATGACGCCAGGACACTGCAACCATTATAAATGTGAGTCAGTTACCAACCATCCAATGTAAATCATGTGACCATGTAACTTCGAACATAACTAAGTAAACCGTTGTAAATCGAGGACTACCTGTATAAGCTCATAGTGACAAATCATTTTTAAAATTAAGATTTATAAATCCATCAGAATGAGGAATATTTCTAACATTTTGCAGGGTAATTATAATGCAGTTGATCTCCCAAAACAAAACCTAACTAAATGATAATTGATGCCATTTGGGGCATTTAGGATTTTCCAGATGTAAATTGTCCAAATCAAATGTGATTCAAGATGATCTGAATGAGATCTAGCTTCCTGTGTTATCTGAAATGTTATATCTAATACACTATGAGCTGTTTCTGGTTCAGATAATTTATTCCCAGAAACCACAAAACCATCTCTTGGGAACAGCAAGCTTCTGATTCAGCATTGGGTGGAAAGTTTCAGAATTTAAAACAGTTTATTCCCATGCTACTAATTTTTGCATATCTTCATTTAAAGCATATTAAAAAAAACATTATGTGATTTTTAAACTTCTCATTATTCTTCCATGAAACACTTAGCCTTTTTTTTAACAGTATTGATTGAGGCAGTTAATTAAAAATATTCTCAAATTATTCATATCAGAAGCAAACTGGTATGAAAGAAATCTCACTGAAATACATAGGATTTATTTCTAAGAAAACTTGCTGTACATGAGAGTAGATCTAAAGTCTTAAGTGCTCTCAAAAATCTATCAGAATTATTGAGAAGATATGAAGTTGTCTTTAATGAAGCCAACATTACACTTATCTTTATAGGAGAGATTGTCAGTGATTGGGAAGATCTAAACTTTCATGAAGCTGCATTGTAATTGTAGCTTGAAGTGATCTCGCATACTTACGGCCTCAGTGTGAATGGGGTGGGCAGCAAAAAATAGAGCTGTGACAAAAGCCAGGCCACTATCCTTGAAAACAGTTTTGTCACAAGTATACATCAGCACAAGTGTCACAAGGCAATGCAGGACTACATTCAAGGCATGGAAGTAGAAGGGATTCATCCCAGCCAACAGTATGTTCAGCCTGTAAGAAAGCAAAGTCAGAATTGTAATAGATGCTGAATGGAAAAATGCAGTGTTAGAGAAAACAGAATATCCATCTACATCAGGGGTCTTCAAACTTGGCCCTTTTATGACTTGTGGACTTCAACTCCTAGAATTCCTCAGCCAGTGTGCCCTGATCTACATAAACTCATAACTAGTTCAAATTAATCCATGTAGAGAATCTGTATACTGCTAAAACTCTCATATCTGTTTGTTTATAACCTTGAAGTGGGCAAAACGGTGCAGCACAGGACCACAGTTTTTCAATCAATGTACCTCAAATGGGCTAACTTACAGAATGAATCCAAATCTGGGACCCATAATTCCCATGGGATTTAAATTTGGCAAAGTTGTGGCTGGTCCAGTACAGTCAATTGTAGTTGTGGGGATCATCATTTCCAGTGTCCCCTGCCAGTTTCTACAAGGGAAGTCAGTGGGAAAGCTGGCAGGAAATTGGAAGTTACTCCTGCTCCAGTTGTTCTTTTCCCACTTGTGGTTATTATGTTTCTCTGTTTAGCTAAGGAAATATCTCTAAAATAATGACTCAGTGGGCCATGGGTTGATTACAAATATTTACAGACTGATCACCATATAGCTACAAATATATGAAGTTCCTTGATTCACATACTGCTCTGCCTATCTAAGGGTTATCTCTAGTCAACCAGTCAGTCAGATCTAGGTAGAAAACTGCTGTAGATTTCCAGAGATCTTTAAGGTCCAAACTATTTGTTCCCTACCACTGAGTCAATCACTTCTGCCAATCCTCAGCCTGAATTAGAAAGGCGGAGGAAAAATTATTTTCTTTTCAGTTTACAAGTACTTTTTTCTTGGCTACATGGAACTAATTTTAGCTCCACCCTGGCTAACAGAGCAGCAACTTTTTACAAATAAGCATGATATAAATATGATTTTCCCTGGGAAGACTCTTTTGTTTCTCTATGTCTGTGGATGAAACAGAATGAGGCCAAAGAAGCAGCACATTCAGTTCTCTCAGGAAGTGAGCCCAGCAACTGATCTTTCTGTGGTGGGATCCAGAGGACAGAAGGGCCTCCTCAGTGGAAGGAGGAGAGTATGGAATCAAGAGAAAGCATACAACTTTGCCTTAAAGATTTCATGTCTTTGTCTAAATGTCTGGGAGATCAACCAAGTCAAGATGGAAGACATGAGTGTTGTGACCTAGATAAAAAAGGGGTGAGGTTTGCTCGCATGGCTGTAGGCCTCTTCGGGAATTTTTGACACCTCCCTGGAGATACTCCTGCTGAAGAGTAAGACAAAAGGAGTTGGGATGGGATAGGGGACATCCAGTTCTTCCCTGAATCTCTGCTGTGCTGTTGAAACACCAACCCTGCCTGCAACTCCTTTCCCCAAATCTATCTTTAATTAATCAATCTGATGCTCTGTTGTATCTTTAATGGTTGCTAATCAGGCAGTACAACTATAAGCACGTGGCTGCAAAAAGAAAAGGACTAGGAAACAAAATGCGAAAATGGCTAGACTATGGTGTTGGAATAAAAATATGGTAGCGACTGCAGAAGGAGAGTATTAGTGATTGAATTATCACAGTGATATGTAATCTGATTAAAATATTTAGTGTTATGAAATACATAAATCCAATTGAAGGTGCTCCACTGAATGAGCTAATGAATTGTTATTTAGCCATTTCCCATGGCAGGATTTTTTTGACTCTTCTTTGTTTGAAGATAGCTGCACTGACTCGGGTCTGAAAAGACCCTGGGAAAGAGGAAGGCAGTTTGAAAAACAAAACAAGCATTAAACATCAGCACATTCCTATGTTATCAGGGAAATGGACTAGCTAGCTCTCCTGTCCATCAAAAGTTGGACAGCAAGAGAAATAAGAACTCTCTACCTCAGCAACTCCAAGAATTCTAAAAATGAAAGCATCTAGCTCTAGAAAGCCATAACAAACTTTCAGTAACAGAACACAAAATTTTCACAAAGATGCCTGTGTTCAGATTTATTGAAGAAGAAAGGGAATTAGGTCTTTCCCAGGCTCTGAGAAGATTGAAACATAATGTTAACATTTCTGAACATGGTTTAGTGAACACATCTGATTAAGCCCAAACCAAGCAAACTGCATTATGGCTTACTGCAGTGCATTTTGGCTTAGTGTTACTTCTTCATTAGTTCTGTAACCTGCCTTTCGTCCAGGGGTACAAGTGGTGTACAATTTTCTCTACAATCAGCCTATGATTGGTCTATAAGATCTGACTCCCCACCGAATAGCAGAAAAGAGAGCCAGAAAAATGTAACTCTTTTCTGTCACCAAGTGGTTGTATCAGATCTACTCATAGGTCATTCCTACTTATAAAGCGCATGGGCTGATGATAGCTGGCTGAAAGTCATCCAAATGTTTTCCATAACTGAGGGTGGTCTTGAACTTCATTCTCCCTGGCTTCAGTCCAACTTCTTAACCACTACAGCACATTGGTTGATCTTTGCTCCTACTCGTTTTATAGAATTGCTCCAAGGTATCTCCAGAGGCTGAGAACTCTGCAAGTATAAATAAATGAGACATGACAAGATCAAGGATGGGAATTGCAAGACATTTCTGGCTCACAAGGATTTCTGTTTAAGCTGTTTTAAAAGGGAGCTCTTTGGAGCCCTATCAGTAAAAGAAAGAAAAGATAGTTTCGCCCTGAACCTTCTTTAAATTGCTGAGATGACTGTCTTAATCATCTCACTAAGCCACAGTGTGGCCTATTTGGTTTCAGTTTAATATGATTTTTAACTGAGACGCTGTAATTTAGATACTACAATTTAACATGTTATATGAAGCCAGCCAATTATGATTTATGTAACAGACCAGGAGTGCCCAGATTTTCTGGGCTAATGAGCGTACTTGAGATAATTGACTATAATGCAAAAGGTTGCCTCCCCCCCCCCCAAAAAAAATAATAGGGCAACAATAAAGAGTAATTCTTATTTTATTCTATTAATATTTAAATTTAAATATATAGTCAGGATGATTATATTCCCATCTTAATCAGACTCTTCCGTCACTTTAGAAATTAAAATTGTAAGACTTTAAGGAGAAACATACAGCATTTGGAACTCAGTGGGAGCATCTCTGAAATAAATCATTGCTAAACAAACTGCAGCTTAGTGCAATATGGGTACACAGCTAATGTCAACTTGCATCTGACCGGAGACTAACAAAACAATTCAAACAAAACAGGGGCCTAATATTTATATGATCTCCCTGATTAAAGACCTTCCAGCTGTAGAGCAATTTAAAAAAAAAAAAAATCCAATAGATCTAGCTAATCTATTCACTAAAGAATCCAGTTCTGAATTACAGGCACTGAAATTATGTACATCTGGAGAGCAATAACTTGGGAAAATCTTATATAATACTTTTTGACTTACGACTGCAAATAGGACCAGAATTTCGGTACTTAAGTCATGAATATTGCAAGTCAAGGCTCCCCACATGACCAGACCTGATTTTATGACCATTTTTTTTACACAATCATAAATGCAACCCCTTTTCCTAAATAAATGAGGGGTTTTTGCCAGAAATTGGCAAAAAGACACCAGAAACCAGCAAAATACATTGTGGTCATGTGACTACAGAATACTGCAACCAATCATAAATGTGAAGATTGCCAAACATCTGAAATGCAATATTGTGACCCACAGGGGGGTTTGTGCAATATTTTACGATGGGCCATAAAGCACCCCATCCAAGACTGTTGAAACTCTAAACACCAGTTGTAAGTGGAGGATTATCTATACAATTGTCCCCAAAAGAATGAAAGAGTAAAAGCAATAGATGCCTTCCATTACCACCGAAAAGAATTCTATCTTTATTATTCTTGTCGGTTATCCTCAGAACGATCGGAAAGGACAGGAGTCTTTGCATAGGGAAATAAGTTTAAAAACAAAGAAATTGTTAATAGGCCAGGTATTAAACTGCCTAGTGAGCAAATTACACATCATCTCATTTATATTAATATGCAGTTCAGAGCTTGTTACTCCAAACCATGTGCACCGTGTATGTGATGCTATGGACGCTCTTTTGTGGTGCCTGGAAGCTGTGGGGGCCTGGATAGGGGACAACAGACTTCAGCTGCACCCTGGTAAGATGGACTGGCTGTGGATAGAGGGCCCCTCTACATCTGGGGATTTATCATCTGGTCTTAGATCAGTGGTTCTCAACCTTTCTAATGCCGCGACCCCATAATACAGTTCCCCATGTTGTGGTGACCCCCAACCACTTATACATCACCGGGTGACAGGGGCGTGGCCAAAGGGGGAAAAATGGCGGACAGCCTTGTTTGGCGACCCCCGTGAAATGGTCGTTCGACCCCAAATGGGGTCCCGACCCACAGGTTGAGAACCACTGTCTTAGATGGAATTGCACATCTCAGACTGACCTGGTCTGTAATTCTTACTAAAAGTCAATAGATTTATATGATATGACGAGAAACCAGAGTATTTCTGTCAGATTCTTTTCAAGGATCAAACCAGCTTTTACGGAGAAAAATAAAGCCAAGCAATTAATACTCTTGAAGTCTGTTCAAAGTCTTTTTCGAATGCAAGAATGATTCCAAGACAGAATACATACCACCTGATATTCTCTGAGTTTGTATATTGTGCTATTTGTTAATCCATATGGATATGCTAATCCATAGTCTAATGAATAAATCAAAACTGGATAGATTTGCACAACATACTAAGCCATCGAGCATGATTTATAAGCCAAAACGGCAACCTTCTAATTCCACACTAAATAATCTGTCTTTTAATTTAGTGCTTTGAGATGCCACTTGATCTCATCTAGGCCAACAAATTGTGTCCAACAAGATTCTCAAAGTACGCTTGTTTGTATAATATTTCAATATAAGGATTCATAGAATTCTAGATTGTGGAGTTGAAAGTGACTGTGAAGATCATCAACCCTCTGCAATGTGCACGAAAATCAAATACAGTAGGCCATCATCAAGAGATGGCTGTTCA